CAGCACCTATACCTGGAAACTCGTTGATACTATATATTTTAGCACAAGAAAGGTTTATCGGAGCGCTGTTGGCCAAAAGGTTGAAGCACTACTTTCAAGCTCATGTCGTTCGTCTTGTTTCTAGATTGAATCCAATCAAGTTCGTGATGTCAAAGCCTGTCATTAGTAATCGATTTGCAAGATGGTACCTCCAGTTTCAGCAATTCAAAATTGTGTACATCTCTCAAAAGGCTATAAAATGACAAGCGTTAGAAGACTTATTGGCAGATCACCCTATACCTGATGATTGGGAGCTAACCGATGAACTACATGATGAGGACGCAATGGTCATTGAAGTTTAGCCTCCATTGAAGATGTACTTTGATGGTGCTGCACATCGCGGAGGAGCTGGTGTTGGCGTAGGATTTGTCACTTATCAAGGTGATGTTCTGCCCTACTCTTTTACGTTGAATCAACTCTGCTCTAACAACGTTGTTGAGTATCAAGACTTAATACATGGTCTTGAAATGGTTGTTGCAATTTCAAGTCTTTGTTGACTCTCAGTAAGTGATCAACCAGCTTTTAGGTAGTTACGAGGTCAAGTAACCTTAACTATGCCCATAGCATGATTATGCTAAGGAAAGAAAACAAGAAGGTTAATGCTTTAGCTACCCTAGTTTTATTGTTAACCCTGCCTGATCAAGCGTAAGTTACTATCTGCCAAAAATGGGTAGTACCGCCGCCAAATGAGGGTGAAGGTGAAGAAAATGAACTCGAGCATCTTGTGGTCGTTTCTGAGGCTGAGAAGGAAGAATGGCAACAACCCATTATCAATTACATGAGATACTGGATACTTATAGAAAATCTGAGGAGAAAGACTGAAATCCGCGTCATGCACCTCGCTTCCTTTACTACAAAGATACTCTATATAGAAGATCATTTGAGGGAGTACTCTTGCGATATTTAGGGGAAGATGAAGCACTCCAAGCTTTGTAAGAAGCACATTCTTGGGTATGTGGATCATATCAGTCCGGACCAAAGCTCCACTTCCATATAATAAGGATGGGATATTATTGGCCAACGATGGTAAAAGATTGCTTGGACTACGCTTGAAGATTTAAGGCTTGCCAGTTCAACGAAAATTTTATTCATCAACCTCCTGAAGTGCTACATCCGACTGTTGCATCATGGCTATTGACGCTTGGGGACTAGATGTTGTTGGACCATTGCCAAAATCCTCTGGCGAACACTTATACATCTTGCTGCAACTGAGTACTTTTCAAAATGGGCTGAAGTTGCTACTCTTAAGGAGGTAAAGAAGGAAAATGTTGCAAGTTTCATCCGAGTAAACATTATCTATCACTTTAGCATTCCTCGTTACATAATAACGGATAATGGCAAGCCATTCTACATGACTCTATGCAACTTGTTAAAGAAAGTCGTCTCCAAATCCAAACGGGATTGGCATGACCATATAGAAGAAGCTCTATGGGTATATAGGACAATTCACTGCACGCCAACAGAAGCGACCCCATATACACTCGTTTATGGAGTCGAAGTCGTCTTGCCACTCGAGCGTCAAATACCTTCATTACGATTAGCTATTCAAGAAGAAATCACTAATGAAGAAAATGCTCGACTTCGATTAGCAAAGTTGGAGGCTCTTGATGAAAAGAGGTTGGAAGCTCAACAAAATCTTGAATGTTATCAAGCTTGATTGTCTCGCGCCTTCGATAAAAGAGTTCGCCCAAGATCCTTTCAAGTAGGAGATCAAGTCCTTGCCATAAGAAGACTCATTATTACTTCCTATAAACTTGTAGGGAAGTTCATTTCAAGATGGGATGGGCCATATGTCATACAAGCAGCTTAGTCAAGTGGGGCTTACAAGCTGGTTGATGCAGACGACATGAGAATCAGCCCTATCAATGGAAAATTATTGAATAAGTTTTATCCTTGAAGTTGCAACACTCCTAGCCTGCATAAGTCTAAACTGTGTACGGCCCACCACCAAACAAACAAAAGAGTCTGCTAGGTTGTAAATTTCGAAAGAGGCAGCCTAGAAAAAAGTTAGGACATTAAAAAAAATTCGCTAGGTTGAAAAGCTCGAAAGAGGCGTCCTAGGCAAAAGTTAGGACATAAAAAAAAAAGATAAAAAAATCACCCATTCTGAACTACGGTATGACTTGATCCTCTTCAACGAGGTATGTAGGCAGCGTAGAGTTTCATTTTGAGTTCAGTCGCATAAGTTCAAAAGATACATAATCCCCCAATCATTGTCCGACTGAAGTACGATGGAATGTAATCCATTCAATCAGCACTTGAAAATCGAGCTGAGATACCATTCTTCTGTTAAACTTTGGATCCCATTTGATTTAAGGGGGCAGGCCGCTATGGTAAATTGGTATCTTCAATAAAATGATTGTAATCTTTTAGGAGGCTAACAATTATTTGCATTGAAGTTCACGGATTTACTATGTCTTCATGTTCGCCAAATCTTTAAATCCGCTGATCTTCAAGTTTGCTGCTCTTCAGGTTTAAATATTTAAGCCCTCCGAGTTGAAGTCTCCAAATTCAAATATTCAAGTCTATCAGTCTTCAAGTTGAAGTCTTCATGTTCTCTGCGCTTCAAGTTTACCTCTCTTCAAGTTGAAATATTTAAGCCCTCCATATCTCCAAGTTGAAGTCCTCAACTCTATCGGCTTCAAGTTGAAGTCTTCAAATTCGCCGGTCATAAAATAGAATTGTTTAAGCCCTCTAATCTTCGAGTTGAAGTCTTCATGTCTGCTAGTTTTTCAAGTTGAATTTTTAAAATCCACCACTCTTCAAGTTGAAGTCTGCAATGTCCGCCAAATCTTCAAAGTTTCCAAATGTTCAAGTTAATGTCGTCAAGTCCACGAAGTCTTCGAGTTGAATCTTTCATCTTCAAGTAGAACTTTGCATTGGCAAAGTGTGACTCAGCCTCGGTGAATGGCTCATCATCAGCAACTATCTTCTTCTCGAATTCACCTCGTAGTATTCTAAACATTGATGGTAGGTAGATGGAACTACTTTATTCTCATGTATCCAAGGCCTTCCAAGCAAGATGTTGTATGAAGTCTTTGCATCGATCACGTGCAGCCATGCACTTGATTGCATATCTTCAATGGTGATTCCCAACCTGATAGCACCTATGGCCCTTGGCCCCCCATTGGTTGAATCCTTGAATCATCATAGGACTTTCCGAGAGTTCGTTCATAGAAATACCAACTTCTTTCATAGTGCAAATTGGCAAGATGTTCACTAAGGATCCTCCATCCATTTGTAGGCATATCAATTTTATCAAAACAAATTTCAAAAATAATTTGGACTATATCCATTTGTGCAAGTGATGTTCTGGCCAATCAAATACGGCCTTGTCATACTTCAATTTGATTGGTCGAAAAGAGGTTTTTTTAATCATGACTCTTCCCTTCCACAACTATAAATAGGGGTCTTCATAACCTAGAAAAGACACCAGAAGTTAAAACAAGAAGCAAGAAAGACCTCGTGGATCAAACGCTGCAAATTCCTCCATAAGTTTCAAGCTTCAAGGAATCAAGTTCAAGTTCAACAATCAAGTTCAAGCTCAAGAACGAGGAACAAACCAAGTTCAATCTCAAGAGCGAAGTACAAATCAAGTTAAAGCTCAAGAACGAAGAACAAATCAAGATTCAAGGAGTACGAGTTCAAATCAAAGTTCGTGCTAGTTGAATCAAATATCATCATCCGTGGCAACAAATATAGATTTAAGATCAAGCTTGAAGGCACTTGAATTTATATTGGAAAAGTAGAATCAGAGGAACCACATAGATTGTACACTCAAATTACTCAAAATTAAATACTACGATTATTGCAATATTTTTCAGTCTCGATTATTTTCTCGACGTAAATATATTGTCTACAAATTCTAGCATGCCCAGTGGGACAATCTCTAACTCTCATCTTAACTTTTCAATCACCAAAGTTCAAGAACATCGAAATGGCTTCAATGAAAATCAATCCCAGATCAACTTCCACCAAGGCTGCTATTTCCAGGTTATACGCTGATGTAGAAAGCATCCTCGATGTTACCTTTTGAAGATTTGAACCAACTATAAGGACCAAGGCAAGCTCTTTAGGATAACAATCATTCCAAGTGTCGTCCGCATCAACCCCTGTTTTCGGATCTTCATCCTCAAAAGGAGTAAGATCTTCCACAAACACACACGAAGGAGGAAGCGTTGTTGCTAAAAAGATTAAGAAAACTCTTGCTCTGCTTGCCCTTTTCGGATCCAAGAACTCTACTGTGGAGGGAGATGATGATTCTTTAAGTGATGGATCCTCTCTACTTACACCACATAGAGTGAGTCAATCAAGGATCAATCTGTGTGACAATCCATGCTACTCTCCATCGTCCACAACAATCATGCAAGTCATTGTGACAAACACTTCATCTGTGGAGGAGTAGTTGGCAAACTTGACGGAAGCAATCGATGGCTTGACCAAGTGCACGCAAAATCAAGATGCTAGAATTGACAAGTTAACAGACAGAGTGGGAATCTTGTCGGAAGAAGAATCCACCCATGCACCTGGCAAAGTTCCCAGAGGTTCCAGTGAGTAATTCTTCCCCAAGACAAGTTGCATCCGCTAAGGCTATCCTTGTCTCATCTAAAGGGATGATTCCAATTGATCAATTGAAGGAGTTCATTGAAGGAATTATTAAAAATAAGTATGAAGCTGCTGCCAAGTGCTCTCTTAAATACACAAAGATATATACTGCAAGGATCGATATATTAAATATTCCTGCTGGCTATCAACCTCCAAAGTTTCAGCAGTTTGATGGTAAAGGTAATCCAAAATAATATGTGGCACATTTCGTTGAGATATGCAAAAATGATGGGACTTATGGAGATTACTTTGTCAAGCATTTTACTGCTAATAAAATGAATGACCCAAATTACTGCTAATACCATCGACTCATGAGCCACCCTCTGGAGAAGTGCTTTGTCTTCAAGGACAAAGTTATGGACTTGGCCCGTGAAAAGAAGATAATGCTTGAAGATGACAAGGCAAGTCCAAACCAAGTCTCTATCACTTTTGGCTCATTTAGTATAGATGAGCTATGAGGTTTAAAAGAAATCAAAGATGAAGAATTACTGGAGAATAACAAAGTCAAAGTAGACGACCATGATGATAAAGAGGGTTGGATGTTGGTGACTCGCCATATGCGCCACAAAAGGAGCCCACGAAAAGAATCAAGAACAACAAATAAGGAAAATAATGGTGAAAAGATCAAGGTGATGGAATCCAGTTAAGCATTTGAAAAAAGAAAAAGTGGAGGTGCACCATCCTCAAAAGCCACGACATCTAGTGACCTTGGAGGAGTTCTTACCAAGTTGGTTCCGCATAAAGATTTCCCATGAAGGTATTGATGCCTCTTGTTGCCATGCTGACAAAGGGGAAGAAAAGAGTGATGGCCTACCATTAGCACCATCTTCGAAAAACCTCATCGAGTCCATTCCTCAAGAAGTTAATGCTTGTGAGGAAAAAGTTACGTTCACAAATGACGATCTTCTACTAGGTGACACTTCTCATAACCGCCTATTGTACCTGATTGGCTATATGCGCGATGAAAGGGTAAATCGAATTTTTGTTAATGGAGGATCCTCAGTAAACATCTTGCCAATTCGCAATGTGAAAGAACTTGGTATCCCCATGAACGAACTCTCGGAAAGTCCTGTGATGATTCAAGGATTCAACCAAGGGGGGAAAAGGGCCATAGGTTCTATCAGGTTTGGAATCACCATTGAAGATATGCAATCAAGTGCATGGCTGCATGTGATCGATGGAAAGACTTCATATGACATCTTGCTTGGAAGGCCTTAGATACATAAGAATAAAGTAGTTCCATCTACCTACCATCAATGTTTAAAATACTACGAGGTGAAATCGAGAAGAAAAATAGTTATTGATGATGAGCCATTCACCAAGGTTGAGACACACTTTGCTGCATTGTGAAGGAGCTAACAGCTGATGATGTCATGAAAAGAAAGAACGATGAGCCCACAACTAAAAGAGCTGAGGTGACTGCTGGTAGAGCTAAAGCTGTTATTGAAAAGGTGCAACCTAACTCGAATAAATATTATAGAGAGGATATTGCATCTTATGGCAAGAAAGTAACTCATGCGCTCCAATATTCCTCTAAAAGGAAGAAAAATGAAGGTGAATCATCCAATCTCCAATCTAACATGCTAAAGGAGTTAACTCTTCCGGTAAAACGAATTGAGGCAGTAAAGTTGTCCTCAAAGACACTTGCAGGATTTGTGGCCCAAAATAGTTTGCAGAAAGTGGAACTCCCTACAAATTGAGAGGGAATAAGTTTTAGAGAAATTATCGAAATACAAGAACACCCACTTCGCCCAAAATTCAGAAGATCTCTAAAGATTTCCAAAGTCTGGTTCCTTTTAGAATGAGGCGACAAACAAAAGTCATTGTTTCGTATGATGAGGTACTAAAGGTGAAGCCATACACTATGGTCTGCACTAGAGAATGTGATGAAGACGAAGAAAGTTTAGGTTCTTCGTATCATGTCACTGCACAAGGCGAGCACGTTGTTTCATCTCTAATGGAGGATGACGGGAAATTGGAGGATGTTTCACCGTGTTATCATATATCCTTCAATGATGGGGACCCTCAGGAAGATGAGGATGCGAAAGATGCTCCCCCAGAACTTGAGAAACGGGTGAATGCAATGATTGATGTCTTAAAAGAAGTTAACCTTGGCATAGATGAAGAACTAAGTCCTACATACCTAAGTGATTTACTAGCAATCGATGAAGAAATCATTTATATCGAGTTACTCAAGGAGTTCAAGGATGTCTTTGATTGGAGTTACAAAGAGATGCCTGATTTGGACCCTAAAGTAGTAGTTCATCACCTTGCAGTCAAGAATAACGCCTGTCCTGTTAAGCACGCCCAAATGTTCTTTAGGCCAGACTTGGTTCCCTTGATCGAAAGTGAAGTTAACAAACTCATTGAATCTGGCTTTATTCGCGAAGTTAAATACCCAACATGGGCCTTAAGTATTGTCCCTGTAATGAAGAAGAATGGCCAGATTCGGGTGTGCGTTGACTTCAGAGATCTCAACAATGCGTGTCCCAAAGATGAATTCCCGCTTCCTATTTCATAGCTGATGATCGATACTACTACTGGATATGAGGCAATGCCATTTATGGACGGTTCATCGGGCTATAACCAAATTCGCATTGCACCAAAAGATGAAGAGCTTACTGCATTCAGTACCCCAAGGGTATTTATTGCTACAAGGTAATGCCTTTTGGCCTGAAGAACGCTGGTGCTATTTACCAAAGGTCTATGCAGAATATTTTTGATAATCTTCTCCACACGAATGTCAAATGCTATGTTGACGACTTGGTGGTTAAATCAAGAGAGAAGAGCTACCACTTGAAAGACTTAAGAGTGGTGTTTAAGTTGCTCCGGAGGTACCAACTTAGGATGAATCCATTGAAATAGGCCTTGGGAGTTACTTCTAGAAAGTTCCTTGGTTTGATTGTCCAACATCAAGGGATCGAAATTGATCAAGCCAAAGTGGATGCCATTTTGAATATGCTTGAGCCTCACAATATTCATGAATTGAAAAGTCTGCAAGGAAAGATAGCATACCTTAGGAGATTCATCTCAAACCTAGCTGGGAGGTGCCAACCATTCAGTTGACTCGTGAAGAAAGGCATTCCTTTCAAATGGGACCAAGCTTGTAGCAATGCCTTTGAAAGAATCAAAACATACTTGATGAAGCCTCTAGTTATGGCAGCCTTTATATCTGGAAAGCCGTTGATATTATATATTTCAGCACAAGAAAGGTCTGTTGAAGCGCTGTTGGCCCAAAATAATAGTGAATGGAAAGAAAACTCCCTTTACTACTTGAGCAGGATGATGACACCAAATGAGTTGAATTATTCGCCAATCGAAAAGTTATGTTTGGCACTAGTTTTCTCAATCCAATAGTTGAAGCACTACTTTCAAGATCATGTCGTTCGTCTTGTTTCTAGAGCAAATCCGATAAAGTTCATGATGTCAAAAGATGTCCTTAGTGATAGATTAGCAAGATAGTACCTCCAGTTTCAACAATTCGAAATTGTGTACATCCCTCAAAAGGCTATAAAAGGACAAGCGTCGGTAGACTTCTTCGCAGATCACCCTATACCTGATGATTGGGAGCTAACCGATGAACTACCTGACGAGGACACAATGGTCATTGAAGTTCAACCTCCATGGAAGATTGGATGGTGCTGCACATCACTTAGGAGCCGGTGCTAGCGTAGTATTTGTCTCTTTTCAAGGTGAAGTTATGCCATACTCTTTTACGTTGACGCAACTCTGCTCTAACAACGTTGCTGAGTATCAAGCATTAATACTTGGGCTTGAAATGGTGGTTGAAATGAAGCGGTTACAGTTACAAATCTTTGGTGACTCTCAGTTGGTGATCAACCAGCTTTTAGGTAGTTACGAGGTCATGAAACCTGAACTATGCCCATATCATGATTATGCTAAAAACATTAATGGGGTGGGTCAGTGACGTGACTATTCAACATGTGCCAAGGAAATAAAACAATAAGGATGATGCTTTAGCTGCCCTAGCTTCATCGTTAACCAAAGCTCCACTTCCATATAAAAAGGATGGGATATTATTGGACGACAATGGTAAAAGATTGCTTGGACCATGCTCGAAGATGCAAGGCTTTCCAGTTCCACGTAAATTTAATTTATCAACCTCCTGAAGTGCTACATGTCTTACACCCTATATTTTCGTACATAAAAATGCATCGTAAGCAAATTAATGTAGGACCAAAAATG